TACCACATTTTGCTGACCCCTTCATCTGTGGATGGACATTTTGGCTGTCCCACCTTTTGGCTGTTATGAGGAATGCTGCTATGAACATTGGTGCATGTTACAGACTGAATATTTGTGTCTCCCGCCCCAAATTCGTATGATGAAACCTAATCCCTGATGTGATTGGTACTTCAAAGTGGGGCCTTCAAGAGGTGATTAGATCATTAGGAGAATGGGAGCGGTGCCCTGTAAAAGAGACCTCAGAGAGCTCCCTCACCCCTTCCTCAACCCTTCTGCCATGTGAGGACACAGCGAGAAAGTGGCTGTCTATGAACGAGGAAACGGACCCTCACCAGACACCCAAGCTGCCGGCACCCTAATCTTGGACTGCCTAGCCTCCAGAACTATGAGGAACAAATTTCTGTCATTCATAAGCCACCCAGACTCTAGTACTTTTGCTGTAATCGTCCAAACAGACTAAGATGGTATACAAGTACGAATCCTGCTGTCAATTCTTCTGGGTATACATACCTACAAGTGAGACTGCAGATACGGTCATTCTAGGTTTACTCTTTTGGGGAACTGCCAAACTGTCTTCCAAGCAGCTGCATAACTTTACATTCCTACCAGCAATGCACAAGGGCTCCCATTTCGTCATATCCTCACCAACCGTGCTATTTTCCAGTTTTTAAATGATAGCTATACTAATGCAGTAGAGTGCTTCTTAAACTGATATTACAAATAAACCAAAACAGGAGTTGTCACAACATACATACAATTTAAAATGCTCCAGAGATGAATCTAGTCAGATGCTTGGGAGCTTCTTAACCTAGCCAGACTCTGGCGCGACTGGGTGGCTCAGTCGGTTGGGCATCTGATTTCAGCTCAGGTCATGATCTCGCGGTCTACGAGTTCAAGCCCCAGGTCAAGCTCTGCGCTGACTGCTCAGAGCCTGGAGCCTGCTTCAGATTCTGTATCTCCCTCTCTCTGCCCCTCCACCACTAACACTCTGTCTCTGACTCTCTAAAAAGTAAATAAACATTAAAAAAATATTTTTTAAAACATCCTAGTCAGACTTCAGAAGATTTATAAATATATGGATGCATTGATAGACCCATGGATGGATTTCACAGAAGTACGAATATATGCTCTTTCTTTGAAATCATTGGATTCTTAAAGTGGTATATGAGATCTTAAAAATGTAGTAAACCAAAATGTTTATGATACAGGCAAATAGTGGAGGAAAATTATAGTTTTAAAAGCTTTGTAGACATTCAAGGAAGATCTAATATGAATGATCCAAGATTCTGGTCTAAGAATTTATAAGAAGAGCAAAGTAAACCAAAGTAAACAGAAGTAAAGAAATAGTAGAGATAAGAGCAGAAATCAACAAATTAAAAAACAGACAAAATAAGCAAAGCGCTAGTTATGTTAATAATTAGTTTGAAAATATAAACAAAATTAACAAAAACCTTAATCACACTGATCAAGAAGAAAAGAGAACACAGATCACCAATGGTGGAAATGAAGATGGGGTTATCACCACAGACCCTACAGACATGAAAGGATAATATGAAAATACTTATGAAATCCTTTGAACCAACAAATCTGACAATTTAGATGAACAGGCAGAATTCTTGAAAAATGCAACTTACCACAAACCACAAGAAAAAAAACAAAAACAGAAAACCTAAACAGCCTTACAACTATTTTAAAAACTGCATTTGTTACCCAAAACTTTTCCAAAAAGAAGAGCATCTGGGTAGCTCTGTCCATTAAGCATCTGACTCTTGGTTTTGGCTCAGGTCACGATCTCTCATCCATGAGACTGAGCCCCGCGTGGAGCTCTGTGCTGACAACACAGAGCCTACTTGGGATTCTCTCTCCCCCTCTCTCTCTGCCGCTATCCTGCTCACACTCTCTCACTCTCAAAAAATAAATAAATAAACATGTAAAAAAATAATAAATAGCATCCATTTCAAACAAAACAAGAAAAAACTTTCCCCAAAAGAAAATTCCAGGCCCAGGTGATTTTACCGGTGAATTCTATAAAATATTCAAGAAGAAATACCACCAGTTGCTCACAAATGTTTCAGAAAGAGAAGAAGGAATGGATCACTAGCCAGCTTGTTTTAATAGGCCAGTGTGATCCTCAGACCCTAAGTTGAGAAAGACATTGCAAGAAGAGAAAGGCATAGACCAATACCTTCATGAAGACAAAAAACCCTTAGCAAAATAGTAGTAAGTTTAATCTAAGGCTAAATGAAAAGGATATAATGACCATATAGCATTTAACCCATGAACACAAGGTTGATTTCACATTCAAAAATATCACACAATACATAAAAATAACTCAAAATAGATCCTAGATCTGAATATAAAACCTAGAACTACAAAAGTTCTAGGAAAAAACCATAGGAAATCTTTGCAGTCTTGGGATAGGCAATGGTTACTTAAAACAGAACACAAAAAGCATGAAAAAAAAAGAAAAAAAAATTGATGAATCACACCTAATAGAAATTCAAAACTTTTCCTCTTTGAAAGATTAATAAAAAGTCATATACTGGCAGGAAATATCCACAACACATATATAAAATAATAAACTTGTTTCAGGGCACCTGGGTGGCTCAGTCAGTTAAGCAACCAACTCTTGATTTCAGCTCAGGTCATGATCTCATGGTTCATGGGATTGAGCCCTGCATCGGGCTCTGCGCTGACAGTGCAAAGCCTGCTTGGGATTCTCTGTCTCCGCCCCTCCTCTGTTCACTCACTCTCTCAAAATAAATAAACATAATAAAATAAAACAAAACAAAATAATGAACATACTACTTTAGAATGTATAGACTCTTACAACTAAATAGGAACAAAATTACAATTTTATTTATTTATTTATTTATTTATTTATTTATTTATTTATTTATGAGAGAGCACGTGTGCGTGAGTGTGAACAGAGGAGGGGGCAGAGGGAGACTCTCAAGCAGGCTCTACACTAAGCGCAGAGCCCCATGCGGGGCTTGATCCCATGACCCTGGGATCATGACCTGAGCCAAAATCAAGAGTTGGACCCTCAACCAACTGAGCCACTCACACACCCCAATACAATTTTCAAAATAAGAAAAGGAGGGGCACCTGACTGGCTCAGTCAACAGAGCATTGAAACTCTTGGTCTTGGGGTCATGAGTTTAGGTCCCACATTGGGGTTAGTTTACTTAAAAAAAATAAAAGGGTATTTAAAAAATAAAACAGGAAAAGGATACTTCCCAAAAGAAGTTATATGAATGGGGGCGCCTCGGTTGAGCGTCCGACTTTGGCTCAAGTCATGATCTCATGGTTCGTGAGCTCAAGCCCTGCGTCAGGCTCTGTGCTGACAGCTCAGAACCTGGAGGCTGCTTCAGATTGTCTCCTTCTCTCTCTGCCCCTCCCCTGCTCACACTCTGTCTCACTCTCTCTCTCAAAAACAAATAAATGTAATAAAAAAAAAACCTTAAAAAGTTATATGAATGGTCAATAAGTACCTGAAAATATGCTCAATATCATTAGCCATCAGGAAAATGCAAATTAAAACCATAATGAGACACTACCACCCATCAAATTAGATGAAATTAAAAAGAGTAAGTATACCAAGTACTGGTGAGGATGTGGAGACTGGAACTCTCATACACGGAAGGTGGGATTGTAAAATACTACACCCACCTCAGGAAAGAATTTGGCCATTTCTTAAAATATTAAACTTAAACTCACCACAGAACCTGACCTTTCCACTCTTGGATAACTTACCCCCCGAAATAAAAATATCTGTCCACACAAAGACTTATAACAAATATTAATGGCAGCTTTATTTGTAATAGCTCAAAGCTGTAAACAGCCTGGGGTGCCTGGGTGGCGTAGTCAGTTAAGCATCCAACTCGGGTTCAGGTCATGATTTCACGATTTATGGGTTCAAGCTTCACGTCAGGCTCTGTGCTGACAGCTTGGAGCCTGGAGCCTGCTTTGGATTCTGTGTCTCCGTGTGTGTGTGTGTGTGTGTGTGTGTGTGTGTGTGTGTGTGTCTCTGTGTGCCCCTCCCCAGCTCACACTTGGTCTCTCCCTCTCCTTCAAAAATAAACAAACTTAAAAAAAAATTAAAAAAATATTTTTAAGGCTGTAAACAGTACAGATGTTCATACTATCCATACTAGATGGAAGGATAAATACATTGTGGTACATCCATATGTTGGAATAGTACTCAGGAAAAAAAAAAACAAATCACAGGGGCGCTTGGGTGGCTCAGCTGGTTAAGTGTCTGACTCTTGATTTCGACTCAGGTCATGATCTCACAGTTTGTGACTTCAAGCCCCACTTTGGGCTCTGTGCTTACGGCGCCGGAGCCTGCTTTCCCTCTCTCTGCCCCTCCCCTGCACATGCGTGCACGCTCTCTCTCAAAATAAGTACACTTAAAAAAATAAAAAATGAGTTATGAAAAGAAACAGAGAAAACAGATAAATCATACGCTGCCTCACTTTGAAGACACAAACTCTCTCTTACAGAACTCGACACAGCAAAAAGATGTGAGGGGCGCCTGGACGGCTCAGTAGGTTAAGCATCCGACTTCAGCTCAGGTCATGATCTTGTGGTTCATGGGTTCAAGTCCCGCATCGGGCTCTGTGCTGACAACTCAGAGCCTGGAGCCTGCTTCGGATTCTGTGTCTCCCTCTCTCTCTCTGCCCCTCCCCCACTCACACTCTATCTCCCTCCCAAAAATAAATGAACATTACAAAAAAATTTTTTTAAATATGCCAGCAACATACCATTCCTGACAACCAAAACCAAACGTCTCCAACAAGCCAGCACTTATAATACACATCCATCAGTGAGGACTTCAGTCTCAAGTCGCTGCCACCCAAAACCCCCAAGGAAACCAAATCCACCTCGCCTCACGACTGAAATGAGAAGCAGCACAGTATATTTTATAGGCATCGATCCAAGGAACTACTCAACACATAAGTACGAGAAAGCACAGTAAAGGTGGGGGAACCACTTGCCTGAAAGTATAGTTTCCGGGAACAAGGTTAGACAGACTAAGATGGGGGACTTGGCGGGGGTCTCCTCTCTGAAGGGGCCATTAATTCCTTCCCAGCGATAACTCACTATTCTCATGTCGTTTGTACTTTCTAGAAAGATTTAAAAGTGAAACCTAGAATGAAATGCAAGAACCGTACAATTTTGTAATTTACAGTCCTCATGCTTCAATTTGTTTTTGTATGAAATCGCATAATTACACAGATATCAATGGCCGCGTATTATGTGCTACCAGGGGGATTTCTTCTTCTCCCTGGACTATCATCACTGTTGTTCTCCCGAATTTCCACCAGATTTGAGAGGGCTGTTTGCGCTCGGTTGTGAATCTTAAAAAAACACACTGACAGGTGCTTTGCTTTTTAAAACAACAACAACAACAACAAAAACAGGAGTCAAACAGATGCAGCACACTGAAATGCTTTTTCTACTCACCCCACCCTAGAACATGATACCCTTCTGATGATCTGACAGAGGTATCTGAACTGACAGATTCATAAAGAACTAAGAGACACTTATAAGTATTTTATGCGACACCTTTTACAACCCTGATCATTGAGGTGTAAATCCAAAGAAAGGAAGTACCTTATAAGAAAACTGCCCATTTCTGCTTCGAAAGAGAACAAAACAAAACGGGCCACACAGAATCACAGACATTTAGACCCGGAAGGGAGTCAGCTGCATTTAATTCAGTTAAAGAAAGAACTAGTAGGTGCGACACACAAATAATCCCAAATAGTTTCCTGTATCTGAGTCGTCCTGAATTAGAGAAATCAAAATGCAGTACATGTCCTCATGTAAATAGTTTCATCTGAAATATGCTTTTTTTTCAGGTTGTGAAGAGGGAAATGTGGATAGTGATATCTGAAGAGACACAAATGATCACGTCAGTGGGAATTCTGCATATTTGCAAAATGGAACAGCATTAGCGGCTGACAAGTACTCTCCTTCCAACAACCAAGGATCTATTCTTTACAGGATCTGGTATTAGCTTTGTGATTAACTGCACACATATGCAAATACCGGTCACGCTGAGACTGATCACACTTTGTCATACACTGTCCCATATCTCGATCTATCTATACGAACGTACTGTCAAACGTAGGGGATGTTTTCCATCCACTGTCATTTGCACGAATGCCTGTAGTCACACAGGGGCCCCTTCCACGTGTAAGAGAAGGAACGCACTCTGACTGAATTAACACAACACAACCCACCCTGGACGAAGGCAACCCCTCTTGTGTGCATTAAAGTGATTTTCCTGTTGCTCATCTCATTCACTACGTCAAAAGGAGATGTGCTAACAATGGCTTTAATTCCAAATCCAATGGCTGGGCCCCGAAGAAGTTTCCACAGACAAGTGAGACACACATGAGACAAAGGCCGTGACGAGGCACCTGAAGGGCTGGGAGCTACATGCCCCGTGAGGAAGACGCTCACGCATCCACACTGGTGTGCGAGGTCTCCCGGCCTCCACAAGGAGCACCGATAAACCTCGCGGCCCACGGGGCGGACAGACCCTGACTTGTCCCAGATACCCATGGCTGCCGTCGATGAAAGCTGACGTCAAAGGCAGGGTGAGCGCTTGCATCTGGGGAGAAACCACTGCCGTGGGGGGTAGGTTGACTCTTCTGGCTGTATGACAGAGAAAGGGACACCGGCTGAGCCTGCTATGTATGTGTATATCATAACCCCAGTATAGCATCTGCTTTTTAAAAGTTGGTTATAGGGGCACCAGGGTGGCTCCGTCGGTTAAGCGTCCGACTTCAGCTCAGGTCATGATCTCAGAGTTCGTGAGTTGGAGCCCCGTGTCGGGCTGTGTGCTGACAGCTCGGAGCCTGGAGCCTGCTTCCGATTCTGTCTCCCTCTCTCTCTCTCTCCCTCTCTCTCTCTGCTCCTCCCCCACTCACACTCTGTCTCTCTCTCAAAAGTCAATAAACATTAAAAAAAAAATGTTTTTTTTTAAAAGTTGGTTATAAAATGTCCTGTCAAGAAGGTGTCTATCTATCCCACAGGCCTCAGCTGTGGAGAGTACTTCCTCAAGTTTTGCAACCTTCCGGTCAATTTAGGAGCTTGTCTGCAGGTTTACATTTTTGCAGGCTGAGTCCCGGCTCAGGGGACATGGTGAGAACCAGGTAATAATAACCTGGGTAATAACAACCCCGGGCTTCATCGCGGAACGTGGACAGTAGGTGCCGAAAGGGAGCAACAGAGTACGGTTCCAGCTCCTCCGACAGAGGGGAGTTTTGAGCCCCTGGGGGAACGGCTGGGAGGCAGAGCGGGCACACAGGTGGCCCACCCGGACGAGGGTACGCCTGTCTCTAATTCCCACAGATGCACTGACCCGGGGGCTGGTGGCAGCCCGAAAGCCCACTGAGCCCCTCGGGGGCTCAGCCGACTCTATCTGAAAAGCCTTCCGCGGCAGGTAAGGCGGAGTCATGAGGAAGGGGGTGGAGGGGTGACCGGAGCAAATGCCGGACAGAGAAACCTGAGGGCAGCCTTAAATAGCAGAGTTGAGCAAGTACTGAGAATCACACAGAATGGAGAAAGGAAACCAAAAAACACACCACATCGTTGTCGCTTATTTTCTCTATAGTAGAGCCAAATGTAAAAATAAAAAATCCATTACCATTTTATTCGGGCACCAAAAACAGAGATACACCTGTACGACACGAGGCCATTCTCCTACAGGGGCCTACCTGGCCGAACAGTGACACAGACATATCCTTCTCCAAAGGCATTTTCACCGGAAACCGCTACTTTGAACGCGTCAAGTCCTGCTGACAACTGCAACAGAAATAAAAGCTACACAGGTAAACGCTCAAAAGCCATAATGGGACCGTTGCCTCAAAAGTCCTAAGATACTGGAGCGCATGGGTGGCTCAGTCGGTTAAACGTCCGGCTCTTGACTTCGGCCCAAGTCATGATCATGGTTCATGAGTTCAAGCCCCACGGTGGGCCCCGTGCTGACAGCTCAGAGCCTGCATGAGATTCTCTCTCCTTCTCTCTCTGCCCCTCCCCCCATTCGTGTCTTCTCTCTCTCTCTCCGTCAAAATAAATATACTTAAAAAAAAAAAATTCTAAACTACCCGAGAAGCCATTCCTCCTGAAGTGAGCACAGCACAGGGGCTCAGGACACAGCCTCATCGGAGCCCTGCAGACATGGCCACAGGTGTGAAGCCTGTGCCCCGTCACACTGAAGAGGCCATCTGCCCCCCAGAAAGGCCTGCAGCTGAGCTACAGGTGTGCCCGGGCTGTACCGAGGCGTAAGTGAGGGGGGCTGGCCGAGGGGGGCAGTTCTTAAACTCGTGTGCAAGGGAATCATGCCTTTTTACTCGCTCTGGTGAGTCGGCCATCAGCAGCCTGGGGGCCACGCTCGGAGGAACCATGCCCAGTGACTCGAGGCCAACGTGAGCTTGCACAGCACCCACGGCCATGCGGTCTCGCGAACAAGGACAAGATAATCACAGGTGGGAAACCAGATCCTCTAGCAGCTGAGGCAGTTCATTCATCCTTCCGGGCCAGGAAGGGGGCGCATTTCCTCTCGTGAGGTGCTGACATCTTGGAGCAGTACATGATGGCCAAAGCATCCGTGTGCGGGAATCAAAGCGCTGGCAGTTCTAGAAACGTGGCTGCTCGCGGAGCAGAGATGACCAGAATGCCTCTACCTCTACCAAGAGAGGGAGACTTAGAACACAGGCTTTTTAACCTCAACAGAGATTCTGACATTTCACCATCTGCCCATCTACATGGTTGTGACTTGACTCATTTGTATCCTCCTTCTGATCTCAATCGTAAAACAGACTTCAGGGTTCAGCAGCTCAAGTGTGAACTGAATTCTGTGGCGTGCTGTCATATCCGGCCAGTCTCCAGTTACTTATTTGAGAGACATTAAGCATTTGCATGTGTCTTTCGTTTATTTCATCTCGGTAGTCTACCGGGTGGCTAAGCAAGCTCCATTCATAGCTGTACATGGTCTCTGAGAGCAAAAAAGGAATACGAGTGAGTAGTCATAAATTCTGAAAAGTTACTATATACAATCTGGGCAGAGGAAAGGAGAGGACGGCCCTCATTCCAGCAGAAGAGATGCCGGACATATCCTGAAACCAGCTTTCAACTAAGAAATAGCAAGTTTCTCTATCTTTCTAATGGAAAATTTCTGTTTTAGTAGGGAAACACACAGCTTACGGAAAATTCATGAAATGTGGAAAGTCGAAAAAAAGAAAAAGGAAAAAAAAATCTCCCTGATCCCACAGTTAGCATTTGATGACTTTCCTTTCAGGGTGACTACAGATATATAGAAAGATAAATAGATACATAGATAGATAGATTTCAACACAGTATATAAACCACTGTACTTTTTCTCCTTTTAATAAAAGGCAAGGAGATTTCCATTTGTTTCATCCGCCACGGGGGTTTACTGAAGGACGCAGAAACAGATTAAACTCTTCTGTATAAAAATGAAGTTGTCTCCCACAGTGAGATGCTAGTTCAAGTACGAAGTATCTCAGTAACAGGATTAAAGGAAATGCCAAATATTATCATCTCTGTTTAAGTTTTGACCCATATGTGATGGGGGCAGGGGACAGATGAAGGGACTAACCTGAATGAGAACATCCAACACCCTACGAACGAATATACCTTAAGAAAGAATGCCTTTGACAGGTCAGAGGGATGGCTCCCATGTTTGCTGAATAGTAGGGCATAGGACAAGCAGAAGAAAGGGCATTTTGAGAAACATTTTTGGAAGAGCTGGTGTGAGGCATCCTGAGTACCTCAGAGCCCCATTGCCCACACCGTAGTAGCTGAAAACAGCTTCGTGCCCCCTCCTGCCCCCTCTCCGCAGGGGGTTACCACAGGTCAGACTCTGGGATGTGGAAACCTCTCCTGCCCTAACACGTCTCTTGCTTTGCCTCTTCAGTAATGCATGGCTTTCCCTCTGGACCAATTAAGGGGCATGTCCTATATGAGTTTCCCATACTCTTTCTCCATTTTAAACTACTTCAGTATGGTGTTTTTTATTTTTTAACATTTATTCAGTTTTGAGAGAGAAAGAGAGAGAGAGAGAGAGAGAGAGAGAGAGAGAGAGAGAGAGCGCGCATAAGCGGCAGGGGGGCAGAGAGAGTGGGAGACACAGAATCAGAAGCAGGCTCTAGGCTCTGAGCTGTCAGCACAGGGCCCGACGCGGGGACTGAACTCATGGACCACAAGATCATGAACCGAGCTGAAGTCAGACGCTTGACTGACTGAGCTACCCAGGCGCCCCTAAACTACTTCAGTTAAGATTCAATGCTTATGACCACCAAAGCCTCGCCACGACTCCCAAACCTTCAGTCGTGACCTCACACAGTGTTGTGAAAATGAATCCCTGCTGTAAAGTACCTGTAAAGACCAGTTAAGAGCAACCCAGCTAAGGGGCCCCTGGGGTCACACAGGAAAGTCAAACTCTCACCTGCGGGAGGCGCCGGCACAACAAAAGCCTTCAGTTCAACTTCATTTTCTGGTAAAGTTATTAGATTATCTCCAGTGGACACCAGTTGTTTCACTAAAAGTTGGTTAGAAATAGTACATTCCTTTATATATGATAGTGATGTTATATTACTTCCCTGCAACAGATTATTTCTTAGTAGCCACAAGATAAAATAACATATATTTTTCTAATAGTTCCTCCTGTGATTTATCGAAGACACTTTTTTCCTCTGGCTAGGAACTGAGCCATGACTCACATTCTGTTGTAGAACAGACTTCGTAAATTTTAAGCCATCTATGTGAGTTGACAAGGTGAAGAAAATAATGATTTGGATTGGGTGAGCAGGGTGTTGGATAACAAGGTTGTACGGAACAGGTCGGGTACTGTGTGTAGAATCTATTGTCCTTCCTACCATCAAGCTCCTCTTACCTCCCTGGTATGTGCTGTTTTTATTAAAAAATGGAGTGTAATCATGAGTGTTTCTGTATCATTAGTCACACACCGCTCAGTTCTTCTGATAGCAGCCTCATGAATGGTCGCTAATGGCCTTGCTCTTGGAACCTTTCTAAGAGTAAACCCGGTCAACCTCCATATGAAAGAGCTATTTTAACTCAGGCAGCAGGAACATTCACTCTCATCAAAAGCGCTTACCCACTAGATGAGCACTCAGAACACTGTTCATTTACCGTCTCCATAACCAGCAGAACACTGATGTATTCAATTGGTGAGACGCCACTGGGTGTTAGTCTCACTTGTAAAATACAACCGAGAGATGTCAGAATGTCACAGGGAGAAAAGAGAAGATTTTTTTTTTTTTTTTAAAGCTGAGTGCTCTTTAGAGATCTTAGGTACGTGGAGGCGTTGGATGGGTGGCTCACTAAATCTGCTCCTCTTCTGTCTGTCAGTACCCAGTCCTTCCAGTACCTTCCTACACCAGCTGCAGGCACCTCCCAAGCTTCTCTGCGGATCTCCACTTACCCATCATTTCTACTGATTCTTTGCCCTGAAAGTCAAGCAACTGTGGACCCAGAGGGGACACTGGTCTAAACCTGTCATGTTACAGATGCGGGAACTGAGCCTTAGAAAGGCAAAGTAATTACACTGCTCCATGTTGTACGAATAATTAGTAAAAATAGAGCCACCAAAACTTAATTATTTTAAATGTATTTATTTCAACAAACACACAAAGCAGATCACACTGTACCAGGCACGGTCCCAAGGGCTTTAAAATGATCAATTCGTCTAACCTTCCAGCAGTTCCATGCAATAGTGCTATTAGAACCCACAGATCCGGGGCGCCTGGGTGGCTCAGTCAGTTAAGCACCCGACTTCAGCTCAGGTCACGATCTCACATTTCGTGAGTTTGAGCCTGTGTAGGGCTCTGTGCTGATAGCTCAGAGCCTGAAGCCTGCTTCAGATCCTCTGTCTCCCTCTCTCTCTGCCCCTCCCCTGCTTGTGCTCTGTCTCTCTCTCTCTCAAAAAAAAATAAACATTAAAAAAGAAAGAAAGAAAGAAAAAAAAAAAAGAACCCACGGATCCTAATTCCCAGCTAGTGTCCTTTCCAATATACCACACAGCTTCTCTTCTGCCATTACCTTTCTGTCTACTGATGCCGAGGATCAAAGTAAGTGAACAGGCAGAGAGGGTCACCCCAGGGTACAGTGCCCACTGAATGGCCTAGGAAACAAGGTCTCTAACACCTTCCTTATTAGGGAATCTCATGGGAGCTTTTCAGCACTCGCCCTGATCCCTGCGGCCTCTGGCTCTTTCATGACCTCTTCCTACTTAGAAGTCTCTCTTTCCTTCCTGCTGTCCATGCCCTTCTCTTGACGTCCTGCTTCTCTGTAGGCTCCTTCTGTTCTTCCAACTCCTAAAGAAGGGAGGTCTCCAAAGCTCCTCACAGGCCTCTCCCTAGCTCACCCACCAGCCCGCCCTGGAAGGTCAGATCTGGGCCCTAAGCCTGCAGTAGTCACCTCTACGTGAATGGCTGCTGGTGCCTCGTCTTCAACCGCTCATCAGTCTCAGGGTCCTGCTTCTTTCATCCTGCCAGTCAACCATTCATCAAATCCCACTGACTCCAGCTGATAGCACTCGAATCTGGTTTCTTCTCTTCACCCCTGCAATCACTCCCTCCGGTCCTCAGGGATCTTCTTGCCTCCAGTCAACTACTTTCTTGAAATAAATCTGATCATTTCATTTTCCTGCCTAAAGTCATTCAGAGATTCTCTCTACTTACCCAATGAAGCATACATTCCTTAGCACAGATTACAGATCTTTCAAAATCTTGCCCTGCTCACCACTGTAGACTCACGCCTTGGTTCCCTCTCATTCACGTAAATCAGTTCCCTCCAGAACGGCCTCCTTACAGCTCTCCCGAAGTGTCGCCGGAGCCCCCCTGAACCTCTGCTCTCTTCCACAGGCAATGAATGAGGTGATGGGCAGGAAATGCTAAGCATGGTTCCCAGCGCTCGGTTAAGTGCTCACTGAACAGTCATCGCTATTATTACACATGTCGCCACCTTGACCCGAACAACGCAGCGACCCCATTTTAGCCGGCTGGCTGTACCCTGGCGCTACCGCCTCTGGAGAGGCTTCCCAGCCCTTCTGAGAGGGCAGGCCGGGGGCCTCCCCTGCTCCCTCAGCTGCCTGTCACAGCACTTACCAGGTGATAGGAAAACCGTCCACCTCCCTGTCTGTCAGTCTCACTTCCTGCACTGTAGATCACAGAGGCAAAAGACAGCGTGTGTTCGTCTTTTCACGCCTGGTGCGTAAGCACCGTTTCTAGGACACACTCAACGATGCGCCTGGGGGGAACGAGTAAACTTGAAAGCTGTCACGACACTCCTACAGCACGTTTTTGTACTTTTCTTCCGGCTGTACTAGGAGCAGTACTGTTACCTGTCCTGGGAGCAGCGGTGGGAGACACAGGTGGCTCAGATGGGGTGGACGCCGGAGACAACGCTAGTGGGAAGGCTTGGGCTGCTATGCTCCGCGCTCCATGGGGGGGGCCAGAACCGGCCTCTTCTCTGTGGAAGCTGGGCTCAACTCCGGTCTGGCTGGAGGAGGATCACGGGAAGGCATTAGAACCTAGGAGATCAATTACAAAGACAAATTGCTATGAAAGAAAAAACAAAAATGGCTGACCTCGTCAAGCAATACAATGTCACTGACCTTTCTCACACACTGGATTCAGTGGCATTGGAAAAACCATGTCTGATATCACACAACAGTAGAATTCTACACCATTTCTTTCAAATATGCTCTGATAGATATTAAAAATGAAAGAAAAAAGAAAACTGTGGGTTGGACAATTATTGTAAGTGAACATGCACATCCAAAATCACTCAAGATGAAAAGAGAAAAAACAACAAAAAAAAACCCTCCACAGCCCCCGAACTATTCAACAAGGCAGTAACTGAAGACAATCAGAACATTCTAAGACCAGGCTTCTAGAGTAAATGATCTCTAGTCATACCATTTATGTGCATAAACTGTAACTTAAAGTTACAGTTAAAGTTAGCCAACCTAAAGTTTTTAAATTTTTTTTTTTTCAACGTTTATTTATTTTTGGGACAGAGAGAGACAGAGCATGAACGGGGGAGGGGCAGAGAGAGAGGGAGACACGGAATCGGAAACAGGCTCCAGGCTCTGAGCCATCAGTCCAGAGCCTGACGCGGGGCTCGAACTCACAGACCGCGAGATCGTGACCTGGCTGAAGTCGGACGCTTAACCGACTGCGCCACCCAGGCGCCCCCCTAAAGTTTTTAAATTAAACATTATGTGCCAGGGGGGAAAGTCTCGTAAAATGATATCAAAATTATCTTCTGAGCTTAAACTGCCAGTGACTATTGGGTCCAGGTAAGTAAAAGTCAGGCTAAGAACACAGGAGACCCAAGGGGGGAGGTGCAGGGAGAAATCCACAGAAAGAAAAGCTGTAAGACCAATATAAACCAGGGAGGGGGCCTCAGGTATTTACTGAAATCACAAACTGGTGTCTATTCTGCAGTTAAGGAAAGTAAGGACAGAGACATTTTGTGACCAGGCACCAGATAAATGACTTCACTGCTGATATTAACTAACTACTAGATACTTTAGTTCATACAGTTCAGATATTACGAGGCAACTGGTAAACCCCTTCAACAACAAATTTCAGGAACCAAGGCTGAAAGAAGATGAAGCATAAAATTTTAAATATATTGATCAGACCAAGACAAAATCAACTGACCAACATTTAAAAACTAGGTAGTGGGGGGCGCCTGGGTGGCGCAGTCGGTTAAGCGTCCGACTTCAGCCAGGTCACGATCTCGCGGTCCGTGAGTTCGAGCCCCGCGTCGGGCTCTGGGCTGATGGCTCGGAGCCTGGAGCCTGTTTCCAATTCTGTGTCTCCCTCTCTCTCTGCCCCTCCCCCGTTCATGCTCTGTCTCTCTCTGTCCCAAAAATAAATAAACGTTGAAAAAAAAATTAAAAAAATAAAAATAAAAATAAATAAATAAAAACTAGGTAGTGGGTTACAGGGAAGGAAAAAGTTCTCCCTCCTACTCTCCAACCTTTCTGCCTGATACCTCCACTCCCCATAACAAAAAGGCTGATTAACGGAGGAAAAACAAATTGAAGTCTGTGTGCCAGACGTATGTCCAGGTGCCCAAGAAAGAAAGGAGGTGCAAAGAAGGGAACAAAACAGGAGGTTTAATACATTTTAGGCAAAGAAACAATAGATTTGTGAACTGAAAGGACAAAGGGATTTGAACTTGGGGTAGTTAATGGTGAAGAAGTAATAACAAAGTATGTTTGTACAGGCTTCTCCAGCACGGTCTTCTCTCTCTAAATCCCCGTCTTTGGGGCTAAGGGTGCCCTCTCCCCTCCCGGCACAGGGAGGCTACCTTGCCCATGGCAGACTTCCGGCCTGCTTTCAGGGGACCACAGTGGGGGCGGTGTTCTTCTTGCACGGCACTTTCCCAGGTACCATCAATTCAAAATAATCAATATGCCAAAGTGCCATGTTGGATACTTTGAATCCCTACAGGGTCTAATTTTGAGATGCTCAGCTTGAAGTTTCAGGCATTGAGGTGTGGAAGGGAGTGCTGATATAGGAGGCTGGTCCTCACATCTGTGCTGACAGTGGTACGAAGTTCAGAATCCCTGCGACCAGAGCGCCAGCACATGGCAGTGGGGCCTCCTACAAAGTCACTACCAAGTTGAAATAAAGAATGGAGTCTACAGACAGTGGTTGGAAACATTAAGGCACCTGTCAAAGGCTTCCCAGTAACCAGGGGCTGGCTGAGGGGGATTACAACTCCTCCCCTCCCTCCTGTCTACACAATCAGCTTTCCCACCATGCTGCCTCTCTGGGCTGTTAGAGCAAGCCAGTTTTTTGCTTTCACTCCCTGGCTCCCTCTCCATGACCTTCACAGAGAACTCCTGGCTAAGTTATTGGTACTCAGGTTCTCTCTGACACACCCCACCCAAAGAAAATGGATCCTCCAGGGAAACAACGGACACCCCCACGCCCCCATTACAGCCTAGCCTGGACAACGGGATCCTTGAATGGCTCTTGTTTCTTTTTTTCTACCCTTAACTACTTTGAAACAACTTCTTTTAGGTGCATCTGTCTGGTCTTGCCCACTTGAAAACAAAACTGCAGAAAATGTCATTTATCCTCTACGAATTTAATCTTGACTTGTTTCGAATTTCTTGAATTTGTCCTATTCGGTCGCACTACTTGGTGAATAATGCTTCTATATACATTTGTGCACAAGTCTTTGCATGTACAAGTGTTTTGCTTCTCTTGGGTAATTACTTAGCAGTTCAAAGGGGGTTTGGGTCCTAAGGGTTGTAAGGCTCTGTTTATCTTTCTGAGGAACTGCTGGACTGTTTTAGAGTGCCTGTGCCATTTTACGTTCCTACCAGCAATGCCTGAGGGTTCTCATCTCTGTGTGTCCTTACTGACACTTGTTCCCTTTTTGTCTTATTCTAGCCACACTGGGTAAGTGGTATCCCAGTGTGGCTTTCATTTGCATTTCCCTAAAGATCAATGGTCCTAAATTATTTAAACGAGGAGACCTTTTGACTGAAGATAGAGATGTTGGAGGTGGGGGGCCAGTTATGACAGGTTACCTTGAAAAACACCGAAAAAAAGGTAAGGTTGTTACACAGATTTCAGTCCCCTCCTTCTCCAAGGGTAAGAGTTTCTACTGACTTGGAATCATTCTCTTCCTGGTTCAGAGGAAGAGACACTTAACAAATGGAGATTTCCCTTATAAATGTAAATTTCCCTTACAAAAGGGACTACAGATAAATTCTACTGTTTTTAGAGCTTCTCTCCTTAGTGCTTTCTCTCAAAAATAATCAGTTCAAATAATCCTTATACCAAAGAGACATATTTGGGGTCACATATTCTGATACCCTTCAATCTATTTTGAGTTAATTCATGTAGCTTAAGATAGGGGTCTCAATTTCGTTTTCACCCAGTACCATTTGTTGACAAGACTATTCTTTTCCCCATGGAAAAAGAATTATTTTCTTGGCACCTGTATTAAATACAATTGTACTATTTATAATACGTTTTTGGTGAGGGAAGAAATCTTTGGTTTTGTCATTAATTCCAAACTCTGTACTTCGGCAGAGTAAAATTATTTATGTCTTATGCTGCAGAAATAATGTTTATCAACACTAATTCAAGGATTATCTATGACTCAGTTCAGTTCAAAAACACATAATGTGACAGTAGGGCAAAATCTGTATTTCAGTGGAAAATAAAACACTGTCTAAAGGATCTCTTGGTTATCTAATTCTAGTCTTTCTTGTATTTCAGCTATTTGACAACTCTATCAGTTGGAGGTGACTTATAACAATGCAAAATAACTTATTTATAGACAGATGTTCCCCTATAGGAACCAGTCTGGCCTCCAGTTGCACATTTATTTCAATGTTCTTCATGTATGTTCTTCAGATTCTCTTGTAAAACAATACAACATTGATTAATGACTAGGATAAAAGCTAATGCATGTTCATTTTATATCTGTATAATTCATGACTGTACCTTTCTTTCATAATTATCTTTTAACATAACCAACTTCAAAGAACTAATGAGCCACGTTTAATACACACTTCCATCCATAGAAGCTATAAAATCAAAGACTTAGCAAAATAAAAGAAAGTAAACTGTGTTAATATTTAGTGATAGAAGAACATGGTTAATCTTTGGTAATTTCAGATTATTTTTCAATTGGAAGCTTTTAACATTTTAAGACAATTACAAGTTTAGAAAAATCTAGAAACCTTGAAAAGTAATAGCAGGCAATGCAATCACTTGCACTACGCCCCACATCAGCAAAACAAGACTTAATACCTAACCTACCTGCAGTTACAACCCTCCCAGGAATGTAGTCTTAACCCATCAGTCTGGAATGTTCTGGTCAACACCAACAGGTAAGCTGCCTGTCCACCACTGGTAAGTTACCTTAGCGTGTAACAACCCATTCTTTTCCCCCTTCTACCTCCAAAAGACTTCCTTCTTGTACAGCTCCTCAGAGCTCCTTTCTATTGCAGGAGAGGGTGCTGCCCGATGCATGAATCGTTCGATAAGGTCAGTTAGATCTCAGAAACTTCCTCAGTTGAATTGTCGTAATTTAGCAGATTTGGCCCAGGAACGGAGGGCTCTGAACTGCACTTCTGAAGGCGTTCAGGGACGACGAGAAACACAGGCGTGGCACCCGTGAACCCCTTTCTGAGTTGTCTTTCTTGCCTGTCCCAAGGGCCCTGCGTAAGTTCCTCCCGGTCCTGGGCTCTGTCCTCCTTGCCCTGAGCTCCCGATCTCACTGGCTTTCCAAAGTTCCCCGTTTGTCTGAAATCACTCGCTCCACATGGGGGAACTGCCAGCAGTGTGGACACAATCCCCCAGGCGACTGGAAACCCCGGTCCTCGGCTCTGTCCCCACAGTCCACGTCGGGCGCTGCCGCTGGCAGCTGGAGCCCCCGTTTGTTGGGGTCCTGCTGAGTCAACCCCTTCCCCGGCCCAGACTCCACGCTGGGAAACGTTGCAGGTGCGCACAGGACACGGTAACAGCACTCGGGGACTGCACGGTCGCTATTCGGGGGCACAGGCTTGCTTGTCGTGTCAGATGAAGGCTGGCGGAAAGACAAGGGCTCTCTGCATTCTGAAGAGTTAGGCACGTGACCTCTGGCGCACCTGCTTACTTGCGTCTAAAGGATGGCAGTCCCGGGAGCTAAAGCCATCTCTACAAACGGCAACATCTTACTAAAACCACCTAGAATCGCAGTGGCTGTTACCAGGAACGTTCCAGTTAGAGAAGATCACTTAAGAAGTGCACTTGGCAGCAAGGATTCCCAAATGAAGCAAACAGGCTGGGATACGTTTTTTAATCGGCAGGCAGAAGCCTCCACAAAGCTTCAAAGTTCCCAAATAGCTTCATTCAAAGATTCACTGTGAAAGCTTATTACAAAATTAAGTAATTTTTACTGCTTCCCTCTACCCTCCTTTAAATCCTCTTTCTAGTAGTCTTACGTCTGCATTGCCTTTACAGGATTGTAAACAAAAGTCAGCCAAGTTAATGACCTTACAGACACCTTGATTGGCCAAACTGCCAAAGGTGAATACAAAAATTAGGGACATAAAAGGTACCTACAACAAAGACTGTAAGACTGACGGATGTGACAGCCCACAGCTCCCCTCCACCCTCCTTGGTCCGATACCCATTCCGGGGATCCTCTGTCCGGCCTGCCCTTCCACTTGAAGAGACAGTCAACTTCCAAACTAACACCACCAATGTCACAGCATCCTCTCCCGATATCTTCCTCTCCTAGTTCAAAGGCTGATCTAGACATCATAAAGAATTTCCTAAATCCAAGGAAGATCCTCAAAAGTTTTTAATACACAGATAACCTCTTGAGATTAATGGATTAATAAAAAGGCAGAAAACAGGATAGGAGGCCACCATTCATGATCATAGCTGAGGACTCGGAAAAGACTTAGAACCAAGCCTGTAAATGGTCGGCCAACTTGATGGCCTTATAGACACCCCCATATTTACCTCCCAAGGAAGGCCTCTGCTCGGGTCCTTCCCAGTGTTGACAAGACTATGAAGGATTTTCGGGTGAACTGCTATGAGTCCCTTAAAACAGCCAAAGGGAAACTAAAATTAAAATTAATTTTTAAAAAACCTTGCCAAATTTTGGTAAATCCCCCAGCTACACTCTCCACTTTAAACTCCACTCAGGACCTACAGGTGGGATCCTAGAAAAACAAGGACCCGGCTAACGGTAAGATTTGTACCACAGTCAGCTCCCCCAGATCTCTGCCTGTGGTGCCCCAGAGAAAAATCAAAATAAACTATCTTTTGCACTGTCTCTGGGAATGCCTCTTCAGTCCAAGGGGTCATCCAATACTCCCAGAAATATTTGTTTGTCCTGACCAAAAACTTCCTGGAGGAACTAACATTCCTTCCCTGTCCCTCTGAGAATCAAATGTTCTATAAACTTCAGTGAGGGAATTATAGAAAAACAAAAAGGGTAATGAAAAATCAAATATTGGTAGAAAAAGTTTTAGCTGTCTGAGCAGATAAACTTAACTTATTCCAACGGATTTTTTTTTTTTAATTTTTTTTTTCAACCTTTATTTATTTTTGGGACAGAGAGAGTCAGAGCATGAATGGGGGAGGGGCAGAGAGAGAGGGAGACACAGAATCGGAAACAGGCTCCAGGCTCTGAGCCATCAGCCCAGAGCCTGACGCGGGGCTCGAACTCACGGAGCGCGAGATCGTGACCTGGCTGAAGTCGGACGCTTAACCGACTGCGCCACCCAGGCGCCCCTCCAACGGATTTTTCATTGGCCTAAATTTTAAATAACCTTTCCCCCTTCTGATCTTTTACGGTAAATGAGTTTACATTATGATATCTGTCTCAGGACTATTTTTTTAATTTACTTATTTACTTATTTACATACTTACTGATTTATTTATAGGCTCCCTACCCAGTGTGGGGCTTGAACTCACTACCCTGAGATCAGGAGTCATCTGCTCTATTGACTGAGCCAGCAGGTGCCCCATCATGGCTAAAGTTTTAAAACAAACATATGAAGTCTCTGTTTGCATCTGTCTCAGTGTTCATGTAGTGTCATAGATGTGTGTTATTTTCTACCTCTGGATGGCAATATCAAAATTTATTTGTAATAGAGTTCTATTTAATTGGCTTAAACATATAAACACTTATATAAACTAAATTCTCAAAATGTAATAGGAAATAACCCAAATGCTTTTCAGGTTCATGTGATCTAAATATTATATGACATAAAAGCTAGTTTATGTTTGCCGGTTGATTGAAAATAGGCATGTCTCCAGAGTTAACAGCATTGCAATTCCTTCTGGGTTTAGTAATCAGCTAAGTCTGTGATGTCTTTGTTACAAACTCTGTCACCTAGAAAAATAACCCAGGATGATGACCGAAGTTGTCTAACATCTAATGAAGTGTTTGTAGTTAATCTAAACATAGTTGTTAACAATAAGTAAATTAAACGGATGTAAGTAAGATAAAAAGGTTTTAAGTACATTTCTGAAACTGTCTTCAAATTTTTTTGTAACCTAAAACCTTAAAGTTTCACTAAGTTAAATTTGACTATACAGATCATTTCCTAATAAGATAAAAACACTGAAACATTATTACATACAGGTTTATGCACTTTTTCTTCCTTTTGTGGAGGATTAAAGCTATTTTAGTCTAGTACTAAACACATTTTATCCCACACTGAGAAATTTTCCGTGAAAAACCACGTTTCTAGAAATTATAAAGCAAAGATGCTAATGTAAAAGGTAGTTCATTATTGCATATTTCTTAATTTTCATGAAAAATTAAAAGAGGTTAAGGGTTAAAAATCTAATATATGTGATTAAAACTACCGGAAATAATAGGGAAAGGAGTTTTAGGTGTGATCAGGACTAAGATTGGAATGAATTTAATTAATGAGTTTTACTTTCATAACTAAAATTAGTACAAAACTAGAATTCAGTTTTCTCTTTGTTAAAAGGACCAAGTTTTCGTGGACAACTGGCCTGCTCTTGTTAAGAGATTATGGAAAGTTTTTCTTTACCTTTTTCAGTCATCTGCCCAGAAGAAAGAAAGATTTTGTTTCTTGTCAAAGCAATTTCCTGTGGTTCATGATCAGGTCTTTTGTTACCTAAGAAAGCTATATCTTCTCTGTTAAAAGAGCTAAGTTTAGGGGCTCCTGGGTGGGTCAGTGCGTTAAGCGCCAACTTCGGCTCAGGTCGTATCTCACAATTCCGTGGGTCCGAGCCCTGCATCGGGCTCTGTGCTGACAGCTCAAAGCCTGGAGCCTGAAGCCTGCTTTGGATTCTGTGTCTCCCGCTGTCTCTGCCCCTCCCTCGCTCACACTCTGTGTGTCTCTTTCAAAAACAAATCAACCTTAAAATAATTTTTTTTTAAAGGCTAAGTTTTTTTTTTTAAGTTTCTATATTTGCCTATGAAACCTTTACTTGTTACTATGGTAATTGGATAACTAAGTATTACTTCATTTAGTATTTGACTAAGTGTTCTAAAACCTTTTGATATTTTTTGACAACCTTCCAAAAATCAAATTCTAAATGAAGTCCTTTTGACCTCAAATTAACATTTGGATTTTTCCAGAGCATCCTTGGAAAAATCACACCAAAAAAGTATTCTCCCTCCTTATACAAGAGAGCTGTTAAACTAATTAGGCTTATTTGATATATTAAATTACAAGTAGTGTCAAATAGTAAGTAATACTAAGCTTTCTTTATTATATTTATATAACTGTTTTGGAAATTTTATGAAATCCCAAAGTCTGATATATCTTTTTTTGGTTTTGTTGTTTTAGAGAAAGAGAGAGTGAGCAGAGTACAGGGACAGAGGGAGAGAAAGAGAGAGAATCCTAAGCAGGCTCCACGCTCAGTGCAGAGTCCAACTCGGGGCTCGGGCCCACAACCCTGGGATCCAGAATCAGACGCTCATCCAACTGAGCCACCCAGGTACCCCCAGTCTGATGTATCTTGGTATAATGTTATCAATCATAAATTAGCTATTATCTTAAAATGTATGTCACAGAAGAAAACAAATTTCCTTGTCAATTCCATTATAAGGAACTGAATCAGATCTCTTAATTACTTTTTAAAAAGGCTTTTCTAAGTTATTTATGACAACTATCGTTCTATTCTGATACTTTTGTTTTTCTAGTTAAGACAATGATTTTATTGCTCGAGTACAAAGACAGATTTATACAACCAGGGCAGAGGCTGAGGCTAACTCGTATTTCTAACTAGGGGAGAGGACTCTCTTGGTCTTATAATACTGAAGCAACAAGTGACTACGGCTCTCGATCAGAATCGGTCGTAACTTAGCATCCTTATCCTTTCTCTTCCTCTCAAGATGCTTTCAAACAGCAACAGCTTTCTTAATCAAATGGTGGAGATCCTCAAGAAGATCAGGAGCAAGTCCTTTAAGAATTCTCAAGATTTTATTGTCACAGAACGTACTCGAGTCTCTCTGGGTCACACCTACTTGTGAGGGAGTCAGGCCCTACTTGCCCACTTTGTGGAGTGCTCCTTCATGGAGTGAGATGTCAACTTCAACCAGGCAGGGGCGCCGCAGTGGTAAGGCAGTAGAGACTGGAACACGCCCTTCCCAGGAGTGAGGACGAGACCCATGATGGTGGCGGTCAGGCAGCGAAAAAGTGATCTTTTGCAAAGGTGTTCCTGCCAAAGTATTTCATCTTGAAGCAGAGTCAAGGAAAGGACTTTGGACAAGCAGAGGTTTCCAACAACCAAAGTTAAAATACTGTAAAGCAGAACTGGTAAGAATTTCCAGAACTGATGGAAAAACCGGATTCAAGCAGAACAAGAATTAATTACATGGAACTGAATGAGCTGAGGAGGATGATTATGATTTTTAGGACTTCTTGTTTGAAACAGTGCTGTCTTTCCAGAATCAAAGAAACCTGTTCTTTGAAGCTACCTATGTGTCTCTTCACCTACAGAATATATACGGTTTTGTGACTGGTACATTCCATTTGACTGATGACAGACCTCACTGAAAGAGTCACCTTTTTAAGCCAAGTGGCTTGCCCAGTGATCTTATGTGAGTTTCAGCACAGACCCCTCCTTGTTCAGCTAAAAGATAATCCAGGCCTCTCCTATTATCACGCATTAACTTTGGCCACAAAGTCTAGCCGTTTTTCCCAGGCAGGCATTGTTCCCAGCAGCAGACTCTGGAGCGTGTTCAAGGGATGTTCTGGGTCATAGCCCCATCTGCACTTTTTTCGGCCAAGGAAACAGTGACCTACCAACAGAAGCTAATTCTGAACTCTGAATGCCTCCCGGTCAGCCTTTTTATGTCAATGATATAAACTCAGGGACGCTGAGCCATGAGGTGTCTCAGTCTGTCTGTGAATAGTCAGGGGCAACGGGAGATTATCCTAGGGGGTGTTGTTTGGTTACGCCAACCACCCAAGCATTCATGGGCCTAAGGACAGTGAAAACCACTCCAGACAAAGACAAACTGTGAGGGCACAGACCATTCCTGCTGAGGCGGTTCTGTGAACAGACTCATTCACCGGGATTGTTACATTTCCCTGTTCAAGCCAGCGGTCAGCCTGGGTTTCAGTGCCTTCAGCCTGAAAGAAAACGTTCTAAGGTTGAGGTTACCCCCGTTAGCAGTGGCCAGGAACACACACATGATGGCGTTGTTTTCTGGACCAGTGTCAGAGTACAGGACAGAAAGACAGGAAGAGAGGGTTTCGTTTTAAAGTATGAAATATCGATCTGGCCTCTTGGGAGGAAGCAGTCTACCTTACGTCCACCGCTTCTCTTCCTCGTCAAGTCGGTTCAGAGGCTTCAGAGCCTGTACAGAACCAGATGTCAGGGGCGGCCTTCTTCAGCTGTGACACATGTATCCAAAGTGCAAGTCCCTGAACTTCAGTGAGGATGACCTGGTACAGGACCTTTACAGGAGATTCAAGGGTGGTCTTTGTTCTCAGTGGTCCCAAATCAAGGTGGGAGAAAACTGGAAATGGCAGTTTGGTGAGTTCTAGCCAGATATTTGAGGAAACTAGAAGAATTCAGGATCAAATCAGATTTACAGGTACATAACAAAACCTCAGAGACAATTAACAGGACTACAGTCTAATGTCTACACAAGTGCAAACATAATTTTTCTCTCTACAATCACCCCCATTTCTTTATCAAAGATAATAGAAAAACTAATTTGTTTGCATTAAACATGACCTAATTTTCTACCTAAGTGAAGCAAGAGCAGTGACTGAACATAAAAGCTCTTTTAAATATTGTTTTGTTGAGGGGCTCCTACGTGGCTCAGTCGGTTAAGCGTCCGACTTCAGCTAAGGTTATGATGTCACGGTTCCTGAGTTCAAGCCCTGCGTCGGGCTCTGTGCTGACAGCTCGGAGCCTGGAGCCTACTTTGGATTCTGTGTCTCCCTCTCTCTCTGCCCCTCCCCCATTCACACTGTGTGTGTGTGTGCACGCGCATGTGTGTGTCTCAAAAATAAACATTAAAAAAAATTTTTTTTTAAAGTATTGTTTTGTTGATACCTTTTAAACAAGGTGCCAGATGGATGTTCTTTTCACCAAGGGGCTTTACTGGATCCATAAAGTCAATTCTAGTTCTCTAAACCTATCTCGTCCTGAGTCTGTGCACATCTCTTTCAAATATGATAATGCAGTCAAAGCCTTGGTAACATAACCAGTGTTGTCAATTGTGTCCTGTTACAAGGAGAACAGACCTTATGCAAACTTTGTCCTTTTAACAGAGAGAAAACCAAATTCTAAGTTTGCACCAAGTTAGTTTTGATATTAAAATTTAACTTGTTTAGGGGCGCCTGGGTGGCGCAGTCGGTTAAGCGTCCGACTTCAGCCAGGTCACGATCTCGCGGTCCGTGAGTTCGAGCCCCGCGTCAGGCTCTGGGCTGATGGCTCGGAGCTGGAGCCTGTTTCCGATTCTGTGTCTCCCTCTCTCTCTGCCCCTCCCCCGTTCATGCTCTGTCTCTCTCTGTCCCAAAAATAAATAAACGTTGAAAAAAAAATTTAAAATTTAACTTGTTTAAACGTATTCCAATCTTAACCAGCCAGCCCTGTCCATGCATAAAATCCCTCTCAGAAATTCCTTTTCTACAAACCTTTGACAACTTTTTTCTCAACAAAAATGCATCTCCATTTCTCATACTGTCTTTTACTGAAAAGATACATCCTACTTTCTTTTCACACAGAGATGTTTCCTTTATTATATTTCTAGTAGGTTTAAAAATATAGTAGCATGTTTAACCATAAGTACCCTAGTTTTTAGTAAAAACAAAGAATTAAACAATTATGAACTATTATGTTAAAATTCTGTGGCTTGGCAAAATTTTTTAAATACTTCTTATTATTTCTAGAAATACATTCTTTCTCATAGTGAAGTTTTCAGTGTGACAAAGGATGTTTACTAAGGGACCCATTTATCCTCCGCTCTTGTGCAGAAGGAAGCCTGGGTTTAGTAAATAGTGTGTTAGTATTTTATCTGATTTGGAAATGATCTGGATAATCAATGACTACCCATTACGTAATTTAACATAGCAAAACTTTAAAGTTTCAGGTTGCCAAAAAGATCTGGGGAAACTTTCTAAAAATTTCACCTGCACACTTTTGTATCCTATTTACATCTATTTACTTGTTCTTAATTATGTTTAGACCACCAGCAGAAACTTCCTGAGACATTACACAAAGTCAGACATCACCCCAAGCTATGTGTCTTTTTTCCTTTTTTGAGAGAGAAAGGAAGCGTGCAAGTGGCAGAGAGGGGCAGAGGGAGGTGGGGGGGGAGACAGGGAGAGGGAGAAAGGGAGAGAGAGAAGGAGAGAGGGAGAGACAGAAGGAGAGAGGGAGAGACAGAAGGAGAGAGGGAGAGACAGAAGGAGAGAGGGAGAGAGAGAAGGAGAGAGGGAGAGAGAGAAGGAGAAAGGGAGACAGAGAAGGAGAGAGGGAGAGA